TGGTGTTGTTGTTGCTGTTGGCGGCGGCGGCGGCGGCGGCGTTGGCATTCGCAGAGGGCGCAAGCGGCACGTTACTAAAGTTGTTGAGGCCGCCCCTCATATTATTATTCGCGGCGGCGGTCCCAGTCCCACGCGCACTGCTCGCCGCGCTCCCGCTGCTGCTCGGGATAGGCGACAGCGACGACGCAGACACCGAGCCGGGGAGGAGCGTGCTGCTGCGTTGCCTCGTCGTCGTCGTCGTAGGCGGTAACACCCACTCCCTCCCTCTCACCACACCATCGCTGCTCTCCCGCTCCTTAAGGATCCCCACCGGCGCCGGCACCGGCACTGGCACCGAGCTCGTCGGAACGAGCGTGCTGCTCCTCGGCCTCTGCCCTCTCGCGGAATTAAACACATCTTGCTCCTCCTCCTCCTCCTTCTTCTTTCTCTCTTTCTTCTTCCCCCCCTTCTCCTTCTCCTTCTCCTTCTCCCCTACCCCCACCCCACCACCAGCAGCAGCACCAACCCTCAATGGCGGCCTCGACGTAACACTAAACGCGCGCGGCGGCGCCCGCTGCTTGATCGGTATCGGCTTGATCCCCCCTCCATCCCCATCCCCATCCTCCTCCTCCTCGGAATGGGAATCAGAACCAGAATCAGAATCAGAACCAGAATCCGAGTCCCCCGTACGGTGTATAAGATGCACCACGCCCGCACCAAGCAAGGCAGCAAGATCAAGATCAGGCTCTACCGGGCTCGGCTTGTCTTTGTCGTGTCTGCGCGCCGTCGTGGGTGGCGTGGGTTTGGGTTTGGGTTTAAGTTTTGGAGGGGGAGGGGCGGTGGGTGAAGAAGGGAACAACGGAGCGGACGACGACGACGACGACGACGACGAAAAAGGAGATGAAGGAGAGGGAGGGAACGCAGTCGTCGTCGTCGGTGAGGAAGTGAACAACACGTTCGTGGTTATCGCGTTTGCGTTCGGTCTCGTGGTAGTAGTAACAGTAGGCAAGGGCACAGTCATCGCCCCCCTCCCCCCCTGTGCATTCTGTCTCCCCTCCCCACTCACCAACACCGCCGCCGTCCCACCGCTCCCTCCCGTCCCCGCACGCATCTGCACAGCCCTCGTCAACCGCTCCCCAAGTCCCCCCCTCTCCCTCTCCTTCTCCTTCTCCCCACCCACCCCAAGACCCCTCTCGGGGCTCCCCGGCGGACTCACAAACCTCCTCGGCGGACTCACACTCGTCTTAATCGGACTCCCCCTCTTCCCCTTTCCCTCTCCTCCCCCACCGCCGCCGCCGCCGCCGCCGCCGCTCACCAGCCCCCCAGGTATGAACGCCCCATCCGTCGCCTTCGCCTTCGTCGGTGCAAGCGCAGGCGCAGGCACGGGCGCACGCCCCCGCGTGAGCTCGGCGATATCGATAAGCGGCTTCTGCTGTTGCCGTGCGTGGGGGTTAGACGAGGAAGAGAGAGAGGAGAGCGCGGAGCCGGGGCGGCGCGGGGGGACGAGTGTCGCGAGGGGGGCGTTGTCGTCTTCCGAGTCTGAGTCTGAGTCTGAGTCTGAGTCTGAGGTGGTGGTGGTGGTGTGGCGGGTGGGCGCTGAGGAGAGCGAGAGCGGGAGGGGAGGGGAGGGGGTGGTGGTGAATGCGGGTGAGGCGGGTGAGGTGGGGGAGGAGGCCCCGGATGCGGATGCGGATGTGGATGTGGCGCGGGAGTGCCGTTTTGGGGTGAGGGTGGGTGCTGTTGGATGGAAGATATGTTAGTTAGTATTGCAATGCATTATTGAAATACACGCCAAGGTGGGGAAAAAGGATATGAAAGCAGGTGGTGCATTCATACATGAGCGACAAGCACGAGTCACGAAAAAGGCACTCACCAGCAACGACGGCACTGGCGCTCCTCGCGTCCCTGCTGGGCCTCACCGCGCTCGTCGACACGCTCGCGCGGGTGCGGTTGAAGCCGAGGCTCGAGTGTGCCCTCCCGCTCTCGCCCGCGTCGTCGTTGTTCTCTCGCGCGCTGTCGCCTGCAGGCGGGTACTGCGCCAGAACGTGGCTCGAGTTCGCACGCGCGTGGCCGATCTCGGATTTTGTCCCCCGGTATTGGTGCCGACCACGGGCTCTGATCGTTGCCTCCCCCTCGTCGTCCTCGCTGGACGAGTCGGCATACGCGAGACCAGAGGTGCGGCGGACCCTCTGGTGGTGGTGGTGCAGCGGGACGACAGGGGCAGTGGCTGCGTGGTGGGTGGGAGGGCGGTGCGGTGCGGGTGCGCCGGGGCTAGGGGCGCGCATGGAGGGGGCCGGGGAGCCCGCTTGGCTGCGGCGTGCTTGGGCCTCGCGGAAGGCGGCGACGGAGATGCGCTGCTGGGAGTCGGTGGTGGATGGGCCACGAGGACGTGGGACAGGTGGTGGTGCGGGCGAGGGCGAGGGCGAGGGCGAGGGAGGCCCGACGTGCCTGAAGGCCTTGAGGTTGAACGAGGTGTCTGGCTGTGTGGGGCTGGGTGGCTTGGGGGCCGACTTGGACCAGTTGAAGAAGCCAGTCTTCTTAGGTGGCGGGATGTCGATGGTGTCGTTGGGAAGTGACCGAGTAGACCGGAGGGCGGTGCTGTTGTCGCTGTAGGCGGCAAAGATGGCGCTCTTGGAGGGCGGGGGGCGGAGTCGGCGGGAGTCGGGGGTCTCGGAGTCGCTGAGACTGCTGCGAGGGGTGGAGGCGAGGTAGGCAGGGCGCGGGGGTGTGCCAAACGACGAGTCGCCGCTGAAGACAGAGGTCACCGAGGCCGCGGCATTCGAGTTCTGGCGGCGGCGGGTGAACGGCAGGCGGAGCTTGCTGTTGCTGGCGGCGTGGGCCTGGCTGGGGTACACCGGCGAACTTGAAGACGGGTCCGTGCTCGTCGGCGACGACTCGGCCTGCGTCTGCGCCTTCTTGCTCTTGCGCCCGAACAGGCCTGCCAGTGAGGGCATCGTCCGCGGTGGGCTACGACGACCACCACTGAAAAAACTTTGACTCGAGAAACACCCCCTGGCCACGTGCTTCCATGTCTGACATCACTTCCACGCGGCATCCGCCATCAGACCAAGCCATTCCGCCCATCCACCTGTCCCACACTAACACCCACCAATCCACAAGCCATTCCGCCCATCCACCTGTCCCACACTAACACCCACCAATCCACATGTCGTCTCGCCCACCCACTAAAGTCTCTCTTCAGACGTGTCATTTTATTATTGTCAAATTAGATCTCTTCCTGGTCTGGGTTATGGCAACGCCGCAACAACCATCCCAATCCATAAATAACCACATATCTCTTCCTGGTCTGGGTTATGGCAACGCCGCAACACCCATCCCAATCCATAAATAACCACATTTGGTGTGGATCCAAGTCGAGGTTTTACCGATAACATGCACCCAATCATGACACATGATGGCGGTCTGAGTTGGGTGGAGCAATTTCTCTACAGACGCCTTGCAACAATCAAATCGCTGGCATACAACTTGCAGGAGGCCAATCCATGATTCACGGGCCAGTGAAGCCCGCGAATGGATAAAATGGAAATCCTGTGTCCCCCCCCCACGCGCTTGCAACAGCACTGGCAGACAACTGACAACTTGCAGGATGCAGAAGGGCCAATCCATGATTCACGGGCCAGTGAAGCCGGGCCCCCGCGAATGGATAAAATGGAAATCCAAGGCCCCCCCCCCCCCCCTCCTTGGAAGACAAACTCAGAACTTGGGAAAAATACATAGACAATACGCTCCCTCCTTGGTAAAGAAATCGTGACAAGCGGTACCCTTGGTGTGTTCGGGGACACTTGTCATAGTGGGTCGAGGACGT